AGGAGAGGTGTTACATGGGAGCATCTAGAGGCCCCCAAAATCCCCCACGCAGCCGCATTCTGAACTAGCTGGAGCCTCCGGGTGCACCTCAAGGGGAGCCCCATGTAGAGAGCATTGCAATAGTCCAGGCGGGAAACAACGAGGGCTTGAGTGACTGTGCGTAGGGCGTCCCGATCCAGAAAGGGGCGCAACTGGCGTAACTGATTCTTTCCTTTGCTCTCTGGCCAATGGAATTGAAAAGAGCCACTTAAACGGTTGCCTTTAGTGAGAATAAATAGTATCCAGGCAGCGGTGGGATAATAATAATAATAATAATAATAATAATAATAGTAGTAGTAGTAGTAGTAGTAGTAATAATAATAATAATAATAATAATAATAATAATAATAATAATAATAATAATAATAATAATAACAATAATAAAGTTGGAGGGGGCCTTGGAGGTCATCTAGTCCAAACCCCTGCTCAGGCAGGAAACCCTATACCATTTCGGACAAATGGCTGTCCAGTCTCTTCTTAAAAACTTCCAGTGTTGGAGCATTCACGGCTTCTGGAGGCAGGTTGTTCCACTGGTTAATTGTTCTCACTGTCAGGAAGTTTCTCCTTAGTTCTAGGTTGCTTCTCTCCTTGATTAGTTTCCATCCATTGCTTCTTGTCCTGCCTTCAGATGCTTTGGAGAATAGCTTGACTCCCTCTTCTCTGTGGCAGCCCCTGAGATACTGGAACACTGCTATCCTGTCCCCCCTCGTCCTTCTCTTCATTAAACTAGACATACCCAATTCCAGCAACCGTTCTTTATATTCAGCCGGTTCGCACCACTTCCGCAGAACTGGTAGCTAATTTTTTGTTGCCCAGGCCCAGAATGGACTTCTGGAAGCGACATCCACACAGAGAACCGGTTGTTCATTTGAATCCTACCCCTGGTTAGATCTAATATGGCCCATTCAAGTAGCTGTATTACAAGAAGAGATATCCCTTTTCAATAGATCCATTTCTCTTACCAGTTTTGGAGGGGGAAAAATGAAGAGAAAATAGCTAATTGCAACATTGAAGTGCAATATTAGGAGCAGCGCAATGGTGAATAGAATGTGAAGGATGTGTGTATATAATGTGTGTTCTTATTTGTGGTTTTTACTTGTGTGTAGTGTGCACTGTGGACAGCATTTACTTTCATTGTGAGTTACCCAATGACAATCTATTCTATTCTATTCTATTCTATTCTATTCTATTCTATTCTTTTCTATTCCATTCTATTCATAAGGAATGTCATTTAAAAGCTAACTGGCAAAGTCTGACAGTATCAAGCACACCTCTGAACAGATGCTTGGCAACAGAAGGCAAGCTGAGATGTCATGAAGCCATGCCAGTACAGGTAGTCCTCAACTTATGACCAAAATTTCCATTGCTAATCAAGGTGGTTGGTGAGTTACGGCCAATTTTACAACCATTTTTTTCAATTGTTAAGTAAATCACTGCAGTTATTAACTGAATCAGGTGGTCATTAAGTGAATCCAATTTCCCTCATTGACTTTGTTCATAGGAAACCACTGGGAAGGTTGCAAATGGCAATCACATGACCCTGAGACCTTGTAAATGCATGCTGGTTGCCAAGTGCCCCAATTTATTTCATGTGATTGGACCAGTTGTTACTCACTTTTTCAGTGCCATTGTAATTTTGAACAGCTTCACAAATAGTTGTAAGTCGAGGACTTTCTGTACTTTTTGGGTGCACAGCTCAGGGATAGCAGACAGTTCCTGGAGAAAGTGGGCAGAGACCCTGTATTCCCAATATGGTGTTTTCTGACCCAGATAATGTTATTGTGTGTTGCCAAAACCACTGATCAGAGACTTAACCAGGATAATAGCACAATGTGTTTAAGAGAATTGTGTTAAAGCTGTCTTTGTCTAATCCTAAAAAGGCAGCGACAAGCCCAGAAATCATGACTAAATCAAGGCCCATCATCCTTGCCCCACTGATTCTGAACCATTATCCATCCATCCATCCATCCATCCATCCATCCATCCATCCATCCATCCATCCATCCATCCTTCTTTCTTTCTTTCTTTCTTTCTTTCTTTCTTTCTTTCTTTCTTTCTTTCTTTCTTTCTTTCTTTCTTTCTTTCTTTCTCTTTCTCTCTCTCTCTCTCTCTCTCTCTCTCTCTCTCTCTCTCTCTCTCTCTCTCTCTCTCTCTCTCTCTTTCTCCCTCCCTCCCCTACCATATATTTTGATAGATGTAGTACAGGACTGAATATTTTTGTTTTGAACACAATTTTCCACCACTTCATCCTCTCCCCACTACATCAATCTTGGAGAATTTGGCTTTTCTGCTTAAAAACAAACCTTGGGCTCCTCCACCCCATGAAACCCTGGTCTGCCTGCCTGCCTGCCTGCCTGCCTGCTTGCAATTTTGCTCTGATACCACACAGCTAGAAAGAAGGCCAGATAAAAAAAAACCAAACAGGTAGCTCAGAGTCTCTGAACTGACAAGCCCTACATTTCATATGCAAGAGTGCCACGCTGTGAGGGTGGCCTGCTTTGCGGTAGACCACCTCAGTCTTTAAGTAATTCTTCCCTCTCCTGATTTTCTTTTCCCAGAGGGAAAGTCCAATGATAAACAACAATCATATTTTAAAAGAAAGAAGCGGCTTTAGAAAGTCACTCCCCCCCCCTTCAGACATTTATCCTTCAACAGAATTCTGCACCTGGGAAGCAAATGCTGTCTTCCCTACAACATTGTTTTTTCACAAGACTGTGATGCAAAAAAAACCCCAGCTCTGTTATGTCAAGATTTCCCCATTTTTTCTGCTAGGAAGCCCTGCTGCTGGAATAGTTATTTCTCCTTTTACAGAGCATGACTCTCTTACTGTAACCTCACAATAAAGTTTGAGTTAGTACTCGTGGCTGGTGCTTCTGGTCAGGACTACCTCGAAGGGCTGACGTCAACCTGGCAAATCTGCAAGTAGATCTCTCCCTGCTCCCTTTTACAGTCCAAGAATTAGGGAAGGTCCCTTCTGAGATGATTTCCAGATTCCTCCTCCCCTTCTGGAGATTAAACTGCTCTTATCTGACCTTTATTCAGTCTGCAGCTACTCCTACTGCCACAGGTCTCTCAAGGACATGCTCACAGACCATTACAACAAATGATTAGAGGAGTGTCTTTTCACCACAACAGAAGAGATGAGTCCTATGTAGCTAGTCCTCAGCTTAGATGGGTTCTACGCCATTAAAACCCATTTGCAGCGTCCCACAATCACATAAGTACGTTTTATGACGGTTTTGCCAAAAACCGGCATTGCTTCCACTTTTTGGCAAAACCAGCCCATAGCAAACTGTTTAATAATGATGATGATGATGATGATGATGATGATGATGATGATGATGATAATAATAATAATAATAATAATAATAATAATAATAATAATAATAATAATAATAAAGTTGGAAGGGACCTTGAGGTCATCTAGTCCAACCCCCTGCTCAAGCAGGAAACCCTATACCATTTCAGACAAATGGCTGTCCAGTCTCTTCTTAAAAACTTCCAGTATTGGAGCATTCACCGCTTCTGGAGGCAGGTTGTTCCACTAGTTAATTGTTCTAACTGTCAGGGAGTTTCTCCTAGGTTGCTTCTCTCCTTGATTAGTTTCCATCCATTGTTTCTTGTCCTGCCTTCTAGTGTTTTGGAGAATAGCTTGACTCCCTCTTCTTTGTGGCAACCCCTGAGATATTGGAACACTGCTATCATGTCCCCCCTCGTCCTTCTCTTCATTAAACTAGACATACCCAATTCCAGCAGCCTTTCCTTATATGCTTTAGCCTCCAGTCCCCTAATCATCTTTGTTGCTCTTCTCTGTACTCTTTCTAGAGTCTCAACATCTNAGTCTCAACATCTTTTTTACATCGTGGTGACCAAAACTGGATGCAGTATTCCAAGTGTGGCCTTACTAAGGCATTGTAAAGTGGTATTAATACTTCACGTGATCTTGATTCTATCCCTCTGTTAATGCAGCCCAGCACTGTGTTGGCTTTTTTGGCAGCTGCAGCACACTGCTGGCTCATATTTAAGTGATTGTCCACTGAGATCCCTCTCAGCATTTGCTTAACGAATGCCACAAAAAATGTCATAAAATCAGATGGGTCACAATGAGTCACCCGATTTACAATCATCACAATTTATGATGGGTAGACTCCATTATAGTTGTAAGTTGAGGAGTGAAAAGGGAAAATGTGACGGACGCCTGCAAAGATCTTGTGGGATCCTTAGGTTCTTCAGACCGCATTTTAACAAACACTGGAGTAGAAAATCTGCAAAATCCCTGCCCAGAAGGAACATATTTCTAAATAATAGTTAGGATTCTTAGGATAAAGATTGGGGTAGTCTGATAAAATCCTTGTCAATCTTCTGCAAATCAGAAAGAGTTCTGATTCCGATTCTACCTTACCCTGTCTCTTTAATGGAATGAATTACAGATTGCATAGCATATTATATAAAACACAGCCAAGCCCCAAACTAGCCTAACAGAAGTCATGTTTTGAATATTTATGTGCTTTAAGGTTCTCCTCCCCTTTGTCCTTCCCTGACAGTTTTTGGATGGCAATTATAATCAGAGAGATTCTAGCATTTCCATCACAGCAACAGGTGCAAAATGAGTCACAGGCAGGCCAAGTTCTCCTAATCCCAGCTAGTTATTTCTTCTTTTCCTGCCTGTAAGACATTTAGCTTCTGCTTGTGGGATTCCTGGAGGCCAAGGCAAGAAAAAAAAAAAAAAAAGCTAGGTCAGGGCCTGTGACTTTCCAGCAGGCCTTTCCAGACATTCTTCAACACCAGAAGTAAAAGCCAGATTCTGAGGCAGGCAGGCAGACAGATCGTAGCTCTCCAATTCTGTCCCCCCACGTGCCTTTTGGGATCAGCTTAACATCAGCTTAATAAAAACGGCTGTTTCCTACCCAATCCAGCAAACAGCGATAACAAATTCTGAAACCAGTCCTGACAGCTGCCGGGCTTAGCAATGTGTATCCACCAGGCTGAATAATTACAGTGTAAACAGAAAGGTCTGCAGGGCCTACATCCAGATAACAAAACAGGCTTTTTTTTATTTTACTTGGTCTGAGTTAGACTATAATGACGCTTTTCATCCACTCAGTCACTGCTTTGGCAGACTACAATAAAAACAATAAAAAAAAAACCCAACAATAAATTAATAAGCCAAACTGGAAAGTCCACATCCAGAGAGTATAATGTCAGTAAAATGAAGGAGCAGAAATATTGTTGCCAAAAAAGGTATTAATGCAGTCACCAGGTGGCTTAGCTTAGGGAAAGCATTGTTATGAGTTGAGGCCCCATAGGGATGGCCTTCTCCAGAGCATCTGGGTGGGTTCAAAACCTGCACGACAATAATAATGGCATTGTGACTGAAGCCCCACTTCTGTGGTGCACACATGCAATACTCCATTTGTGTTCAAAAGGGTTGGAGCCTCCGTTCTGCATGTGGAAGTTCATTATCTACATTTATTTATTTATTTTTCTTTTCAGATTCCCATTTGGGAAATAGATCCTGCAGGTGTTTCCAAGATATGCCTGCTGTCCCATAAGCCTTCGCATCAGATTACTAGCAAAGCTTCCTTAGGTCACTAGCTCTTCCCATTGGCCAGCCAACCAACCAGTGGGAGACCTGGCTTGCCCACTGCAGCCAATCAGCACTTGGGAGGTGTCTTCTCTTCTGTCCTAAAGAGGTTTTCTTGGGGCCACTCTTTCTCCTCAGCTTGTTTTCTCAGGGACTATAGATTTAAAAAGGGTGAATTTGCATAAATGTTTATAAATTATCCACAAGCAATCCTCACTTAATGACCATTCAAAGTTTACTACAGACTTCCCCAGGGCTACTTATTCAATGTTCTCTTGGTCACAGCCCCCTCCCCAAAGTCACGTGATTGCATTTTGGAGACTTGGCAACCCACTTGCCTTTATGGCTGCTTGAAACATCCTGTGGTCATGTGATCACAATTTTTGGCATATTTTGCTGGTTTCCAGTATTTACTTCTGGTTCTCAGCAAAAAAAAAAAACGTATTGGGGGGAAACGGGTTTGCTTAGTGACTGCGGCATTCACTTAATGATCACCACAAAAAGATTGTAAAATTGGGCAGAGTCTCATAGTGACCCATTTAATGACCATCATATGACTATAGTTCTAGGCTCGATTACAGTCTTAAGTTGAGGACTACCTGTATCTTCAGGTCCTAATTTAGACTGGTCTTCATCTAATTTAATTCATGGTTTTAGTGCAACTTTGTCATTACCAAATTATTTTCAGGCCTCATTCCTACAACAAACATTCCAGTTAGCACTCGTCTAGTCATATAACTTCCTGGTCATTTTGGGAGCACACAATGGCATTAACTGGGACATCAATCACTATTTTGGGAATACAGAATCACCCTCTTTTTCTAGGAAATGTCTAGTTTCCATGAGACTTCCTTGCAGAAGCCAGGAATCATGTGCTAATGCTTTCAAAAGACATTCTGTGGCAGGGGTCCCCAACCCCCAGTCTGTGGATGGGTACCAGTCCAGGGCCTGGTAGGAATTGGTCCACACAAGTGGCAGGCGAGCATGTGAGGCTTCATCTGTGCATGAGCGGGATCTAGGTTGCATGTGCAAAGCTATCTCTTCCCTCCCCCACACACCATCATAAGCCACCACTGGTCCGTGGAGCCAGAAAAGTTAGGGACCACTGTTCTATGGGGTCACACTGTGGCGGCAAAGATTTGCTTTTCCATATATTTATCCTCTCCAACTACTTTTACTGGATCAGAAAGGAGGCTTTGTATAGCGAACCCCTATTTCTCTTCTATATCAGTTAAATGTGTTATGGTGTGATGGCCACCAAGAGATGAAGCTGTGACAAGAACATCCCTGCTCATGTGCAGAATCAGCAACAAGACCCCACCTAACCCTCCCCCCAAATCTCAGTCAGAAAGAGGAACTTTTAAGTTAGTTGTCATTAGATGAGGACATAATATTAATAATAATCTCACTCTCTCCCTCTCCCTCTCCCTCTCCCTCTCTCTCTCATATCATCGATTTGGCATAAAAGTCAGAGTTACCATGTTTTCTCCTCTGTTCTCCATTTCCGGAAGCTGTGTCTTGCATCCGGTCGTACAGCCAAACTGCTCCTCCGCACCAATGTAGGCTTCCATGCAGGCTACAGTATCCGAAAGAGAGGGGGAAAAAAGGAAGAATTCAGCACAAATGGCCACAATTCAGGGTTCAGAAATCAATTCCATTTCCACCTGAAATTTCAAATCTAGTTCAAAAATGCCAACGAAATGCAAAATTGTGGCTCTGGCACCAGCCATACCTGCTTTCTTCAGCACTAATGCACTACAGTGTGTTTCTCACACATAATATATGTGGGTATATGCATAATTCTGTATTTATTTATTTATTTGTTTATTTTTGTCATATTTATGTGGTGTATATCGGAGGTGGTGACCCTTTGAGAGCTGTATGCAATGAAATTTCATTTTAATGTATGCCGATTAGTGTACATCCAAACTGATAATAAAGTTATTATTCTATTCTATTCTGTTCTGTTCTACTCTAAACTCTACTCTACTCCTATTCCTATTCCTATTATTCCTATTCCTATCCTATCCTATCCTATCCTATCCTATCCTATCCTATCCTATCCTATCCTATCCTATTCTAGATTTCAGTTCCTGCAAATCCTTATTTCTTCATCGTGAAATCTATTTTACTTATTCATGGAATTATTTGCGAGATTTATATCCTGCTTTTATTCCAGGAGCTTAAGGTAGCTTGCATGGGGATTTTTGTTCATTTTCTTCCCCCAACATCACTGTAAAAATATAGGTAGTCCTCAAGTTATGACCCGAATTTAGTCAAGAATTGTGATAGTCATAAAACAGGTCACCATATGATTGGACCCAATGTTACCACATTTTTCACAGCAGCCATTAAGCAAACACAATGGTTGGTAAACAAACCCATTGTTTGCTATGGGGCGTTTTTTTTGCCAGAAACTGAAAGGAAACGCCCATTTCCAACAAAACCATCATAAATTGCTGTCACCTAAGTGTGGGGTACTGCAAGCAGCCATAAATGTGAGCTGGTTGCCAAGTGCCCAAAATGTGGAGGAGGGAACAATGTCAGGACTCCAAAACCAGTTCATCAGTAGCTTTTGTGGGGGGGGGGGAGTCTGTCATAAGTCACATGTCGTAAGTTCAGGACTACCTGTAGATCAGGCTGAAACCTTCCAGGGACCTCATGTGACTGAGTGGGGCCTTGAACCTGGTCCTCCCTTCTCCTAGACCAGGGGTAGGCAACCTTGGCTCTTTTATGACTCATGGACTTCAACTCCCAGAATTCCTGAGCCAGCATGGCTCAGTTTGGAAACCTCTCCCTTTTCCCTCAGCATGGTTGGCTCAGGAATTCTGGGAGTTGAAGTCCACGAGTCATAAAAGAGCCAAGGTTGCCTACCCCTGTCCTAGACAGAGGTCTCCAAATTTGGCCATTTTAAGACTTTGTGGACTTCAACTCCCAGAATTCCTCAGCCAGGAATCCATAAGTCTTAAAGTTGCCAGGTTTGGAGACCCCTGTCTTAGACCAGCATCTTTACTACACTGTTTCTCTAGCAACATTTATGGAACTCTCTGTTACAAGATGAGATAAGTTCCCTTAGCTTTGATGACATTAAAAGGGAATTCAGCAAGTTCATGGGATCTATGTTTATATCAAATAATTGTTTGGGATGGTGAATGGAGCCTCCATGTTTAGAAGCAGCAGACTACATTTGGAAAGAAGGCTATAGAGACAAGTAAAAACTTGGCTAGGTGCCCAGGCCTGGGGCTCAGAATGTGTGAAGGGCTCCATTAAAGGTAGTCCTCAACTTACAGCAATTTGTTTAGTGACTGAAGTTACAACAGCACTGAAAAAAGTGAATTATGACTGTTTTCACATGACTGTTGCAACATACGGTCATGTGATCAAAATTCAGATGTTTGACAACTAGCATGTATTTATGACAGTTGCAGTGACCCAGGGTCATGTGATCACTTTTGGCGACCTTCTGACAAGCAAAGTCAATGGGGAAGTCATTTAAGAATCATGTTAGTAATTTAACAGCTGCAGTGATTCACTTAACAACTGTCCCAAGAAAGGTTGTAAAATGGGACATAACTCATTTAACAACTATCTTGCTTAGCAACAGAAATGTTGGCCTCAATTGTGGTTGTAAGTCAAGGCTTTACTATTATTTGATTAATCATCACAACTGCTGTTTATATTTATACTTGTTTCTTTTACGGATCTTGTTATTGCTTTAAGTTGTTTTAATTGTTTTTTAAAAAATGTTAGAATTGTAAAACCAGCCAGAATCATTTGGTTGAGTTGGGCAGCTATAGAAATTGAATGAATGAATGAATGCATGAATGGGTGGGTGGGTGGGTGGGTGGATAGATAGATAGATAGATGGATGGATGGATGGATGGATGGATGGATGGATGGATGGATGGATGGACGGACAGACAGACAGACACACGCACAGAGAAAGAGGGAGAGAGGGAGAGAGAGGGAGAGAGGGAGAGAGAGAGAAATAGTAAGTAATTTCCTTTAAGAAAGTCCAGTTGCCTCGTGAAAAAGCATCTTTGAGATTCCTTTAAGTTCTGCTTCCCAGAGACACAGGTTTGGCCCAGACAAGTTGACAGACTTTCCATCCGATAGTGAGGGATGATTTCCTAGCTTCTTTAATAAATACATCAGCACCTCGTGACAGCTTAGATGGTGCTCAGTTTTCAAAGGCAGTTACATCCGAATAAGCAGCTGCTGAAAATCCAGAAGAATGTGGCTGTTGGGAACAAGTTGCTGGGCAGATGGGCAGATGGTTCCTCTTGGGAATGTCGGAACTGGAGGTCCAACCAGTCTCAATTCCAGATGGGATGGGATTTGTTTCATTTTAAAGTCTGGGCATCCCGCTTTTCAACCAGGCCCCTAAAAGTTATCAAAACCATTCGTGTAGGCAAATCCAGTCTTTTGAAATCTCTGCTTTGACAGATTTAGACTAGGAGAGGAAGGCCGTTCCGTTCCCACCTGCACTTTCCATTATCCTAGACTGTTGGTGGGAGTTTGTTACAGAAGCTCCGAAAGAAGGAAGAGAGATGACCCTCTTAAGTGGGGAGAAGGTTCTGGATAATGTAAAAGTGGGGAGGGGGAGGAGGGGTGTATGGATTAAAGAGGGAGACGGGGAGAAAGAAAGCCAGGAGGAGGAGGGACACAGAGTTACTGCCTTACCCGATTCGCACTCGGCTCTGGTTGCATTCAGCTCAGCAGTGGCATCCACAAAATGACAGATGGAAAACAGCCGGCAGCCCCGGTAACAGGCGTTGAGAATAGCATCCTGGGGGAGGCAAAGGAAATTGCAGAGCGGGAGGGAGAATTGAGATGCTACAATTGCAATTGTATGTCTCCAAACCTAACACAAAACAGGGTCCACAAAACACAGTCCATTTTTTTTTTGACAACAATGCACAGAATCATGGAACCAGGAGGTGCTTTGGGGGTCATTTAGATTAACCTCTCTGCTCAGGGCAAAATCTGCATAGCAGGTTGTGGCTGCAAAGTTCTTAATGAAGGACACCCTGTCCCTTTCAGAGGTAGCTCTTCCATTGCCAAACCTAATGGCTAAGGCAGTGGTGGCGAACCTATGGCACAGGTACCAGAGGCGGCACTCGGAGCCCTCTCCGTGGGCACATGTGCCGTTGCCCCAACCTCGTCTCCCCCCGTGACCCCCTCTTCTCCAGCAGCCCATGAAGGAGAGTCGCCCCTGAGCGTGGCCCACATGGAGTAGCGCAACCAAGGACATGGCAGCCAGGCAGCGTAGACAAGACTCTGCCCTCACACCCCATCGTGCACAGTTGATGCTGCAGGACATGAACAGAGGGCATGACCGCCATAGCGCTGCTGGGCTGCCTGGGCGATCTGTGGCAGGCCCTGGAGGCGGTGAGTGGCCCTGCGGGCAGGCGGGGCAGGGAATGGGGGGGTGGAGCGGGGGCGGGACCAGTTTTTGGGCACTCGGTCTCTAAAAGGTTCGCCATCACTGGGCTAAGGCATTACTCCTAAAGTTTTCCCTGGAATCTCCATCTTCAGTTCTGATCCTTGTTTTTGCAGCCCCCAAATACAGATCTGTTTCATCTTCTACTTAACAGTGCTTTAAACTGGTATTTCTCAACCTTGACCATTTTAAGACGTGTGGACTTCAACACCCAGAATGCTGGCTGGAGAATTCCGGAAGTTGAAGTCTCCATGCCTTAAAGTCACTAAGGCTGAGAAACTCTGCTTTAAATTTTTGAAGAAAGCTATAATATAGAATATATGAAGTGAGGGACCTGTGGCTCCCAGGCCATATTTGGTGCCTAAATTTTGGCAAGCCCTTGCTGGAAATTGATGTTATGATTCCCTACAATTTTTTTTTAAAAAAATACTAATTATTTCTCATACATATATCCTAGCTTACATCCAGGCCATCGAGATAGGATTCCCTCCTCTCATTTTTTCCCTCTACCATTTTGTTAGATAGTTTAGTAGTTTAAAGAAAGGAACTGGCTCAAAATCACCTCAGGCTGAGGATGGATTTGAACCTGTGACTTAATTTAATACTTATTTTGAAGCAGAAAGCACATTGAAATGGTAATGTAAGCATTAAAGTAGACTTAGCAAACTTTAAAAGAAATACAGGTAGTCCTCGACTTACGACCACAATTGAGCCCAATATTTCTGTTTGCTAAACAACAGTTGTCAAGTGAGTTTTGCCTCATTTTACGACCTTTCTTGCTACAATAGTTGTAAGTTGAAAAACGCTCATAGGTCACTTTTTTCAAGTGACCTATGAGCGTTTTTCAACTTACAACTATTGTAGCAACTATTATTTTCAGTGCCGTTGTAACTTTGAACGGTCACTAAATGAATGGCTGTAATTGGAGGACTACTTGTATTATAATTTTAAAATAAAAGTAAGATTGGCTTGAAGGACTTTGGTTTTCTACCAAAGTTTATTGAGTTTTCGCACTTACGACCGTTGCGGCATGCCCATGGTCACGTGATCAAAATTTGGGCGCTTGGTAACTGGCCCTGTCCCAGGGCCATGTCATCACCATCTGTAATTTCCCAGCCAGATTCGCTTAACGACTGCAGCATTCATTTAACAACTGCAATGATGCACTTAACAACTGTAACAAAAAAGGTTGTAAAATAGAGCAAAACTCACTTATCAATTGTGTTGCTTAGCAACAGAAACGGTGGACTCAATTGTGGCTGTAAGTCAAGGATTAATTGTACAGGTAAGTCATCGACTTATGACCACAATTGTGCTCAAAATTTATGTTGTTAAGTAAGACATTTGTTGTGAGTTTTGCCCCATCTCTTGTTAACTTATCACTGCAGTTGATAAGTTATGGTAGTAACACGGTTGTTAAGTGAATCTGGCTTCCCCATAGAATTTGCTTGTGAGAAGATCACAAAAGGGGATCACATGACCTTGGGACACAGCAACAGTCATAAGTATGAACCAATTGCCAAGCAACTGATTTTTGATCACATGAACATAGGGATGCTGCAATGGTTGTAAGCATAAAAAACGGTCATAAGTCACTTTTTTCAATGCTGTTGTAACTTTGAACGGTCACTAAATGAACCGTTGTAAATTGAGGACTACCTGTATTGGGAATCCAGCCACTATGCTTTATTTCCATGGTTAAACAAATTGTGGCTTAACTGGCTTTGTGAATCCAATTCAGCTGATAAAAATGACATTTTTATTCCGATGGAGGAAGCAGTTTTAAAATTTTTCCAACCCCTGGCCACTGTTCCGAAATGAAATATTATACAATGTATTTATATGGTTTATTTATCCATATTATCAACATTTTCAGCCCTCTTTCATGTGGTTCATGTTCTCAAGCTGCTGAACAACAGGCTAATTAAGACAAAAATCCAAAGCAACATCAGGGGAGATCATTCGTGGCTTTGGGGTGGACTTCCATCAGTACGCTGATGACACGCAGCTGTACATTTCCACCCCAGGCCACCCCAACGATGCCCTTGACGTGATGGCCCGTTGCCTGGAGGCCGTAAGGGTCTGGATGGGGAGGAACAGACTCAGACTCAACCCTTCCAAGACCGAGTGGCTGTGGATGCCAGCGCCTC